TTAGTTAGAAGTATTGCACAAAGTTAACGATGATTCACCTTTCAAAACTCTAGTTTCAACATATTCTTATGACGCATTAGAACAACCTACAAAAAAACAAAATCTATAATATTCACGTGATATAGTACACAAAATAAATAATACAAAAAAACATATATGCACATTATTAGTACCTAAGGTGACAAGATGCGAGCTTTCACCTCAACTAGCAAAATTAGATGCTACCACAACAACATAAATTGCCTTTCACAACGTTCGGGGACAAGTTGCGGGATCAGATATTGTCGTTAAGTAGAACAATACGGCAATGTTCATTGCATGTGCGAAAGGTGTAAATGAGCGTTATTGTTTGCTTTTGGCAACGTTTGTTCAATGTTGTATTTAAGGCAACAGTTTTCATCCATTGCCTTATTGAACTTTTGTAATGGTCAAAAATATCAATGAACGTTGTAAAAAGTGAATGCTGCAAAAGAAAATTTCAACAACTTAACATTGTCATACAGCGAACTTTTAACGGTCAATAAACGTTATAATCACAACAGTCAATCAACATTACAAAAGACGACATTAGCAACATCTAAAATCATTTTTATTGTAGTGTACAAACATTAAATCAAATCAAAAGATTAAAACCAATAACAATGAGAAATAGAAGAAAACTCCATACGTAAACAGCTCAGACAATTAGTTATAGCTTATTGTAAATAATTCTTTTAGAATATACAAAGCGTAGTAAAAAACATAGAAAATGTTGCGAAAAACACAAAAAAACAAAAATACATAGCATCAACATCCATATATTTATTAACAATATCATCAAATATATACGCGTCAATCACAATAGTTGTATTAAATAAACAACCACAACAACTGTATTAAATAGACAACACTAATTTCAGTACTAATTTTTACAGCACATTTAAGCAATAACAAAGTGCTTGGAAACAAAAAATCACAGTTTATTTAATTCAAATAAAAATTTCTTTGGTACAAAAAAAAAAGCTCATTTGTATCCTAGGAAAACGAAAATTAGGCTAAAAAAATATCACAAGGGAAAATTTTAAAAACTAGAAATAAGTTAACATAGTCCATTTTTCCGGTGCTCACTGATTTAACTATCACAAGACGAAAAAAATTAACCGCTCCAAAAATATCGAAAGTGTATTTCAGATCGATAATCTAACGTCTATAAATTAAATAAATATGCATTAACAGTAACAAGATATAGAATGGGAAAAAAGTTAGAACTACATAATATCACTATCACTACTATATAAAAGAGTGAGTTTGATTTTTACTATTCATAAGCCGATTGGCCACCTAAGCCGAGCCGAGTTGAGTGAGCCGCGTTAGCCGAGCAAAGCATCTTTCTCTTCTCCATTTGTACACGCTACCTCCCATACCTCATTATTTACTCCAAGCAAACGTCTTTTTCTTCTCTATTTGTACACTCTACCTCCCATACCTCGCTATTTACTCCATTCTCAACTTGTCCTCTCATTTATGCAACATTTCTCGTGAATTCCTCCTATACACATACATTGCATATATAGGGAATCTCGACGATCGCTTC